TCCATATCCTAACTATAGATTCCGCTGCGTTAGGATTTATTTCGATAAAGTTCAATGCTGTGCACGTTGTTTGACGTTCCTAACAGAACCCAACAGAAATCCATCGCAACCTCCTCCCACTTCCACCTTGGAATCGGCAGTGGTCGTAGAAGGCCTATCGGACTCTTATGCTCGGCTTTAACTTGCTGATAGGTTAAACATTTTCTTACAAAGTCGGCCACGTCTTTCTTCAATCCTGTCCACCAAAACGACCCTTTCAGGTCATGGTACATCTTTGTACTTCCTGGATGGGCTAGATAGGGTGCGGTATGAGCCTCAGATAAAATCTCCTTTCTCAATGCTTCAACTTTCGGCACCACAATCCTGCCACGAAACTCCAAGGCCCCATCAGTGCCTCGGTGAAAACCCTCGACGCCTCCGGCACGAACCATGGCATCAATCGTACGAATAAACTCATCCGAAGCCTGCTCTTGCCGGATTCTCTCCCTCAGCGTCGGCTGAACCTGCATGAAATTCACACTCCCCGTACTGGCAGTAGGAAGTGCATCAATCACCTGAATCCGCATCCGGGCGAACTCCTGAATCAACTGGCTCTGCTGGGTAACAACGTATGTCAAGTCACCCTTCACCTTGCGGCTTAGGGCATCAGCAACAACATTCGCCTTTCCCGGATGGTACTGGATCGTACAATCGTAATCCTTGACGAGCTCTAACCAACGGCGCTGCCTCATGTTGAGTTCCTTCTGAGTAAAGATATATTGCAAGCTCTTATGATCAGTAAAGATTTCGCATTGACCGCCGTATAGATAGTGTCGCCAAATCTTGAGGGCATGAACAACTGCAGCTAATTCCAAGTCGTGCGTCGGATAGTTCCGTTCATGTGTTTTAAGCTGGTGTGACGCATAAGCAACGACCTGGCCATCTTGCATAAGTACACATCCCAAACCCTGCCTCGAAGCATCACTATAGATGGTGAAGCTCCGAGAAGGATCTGGAATAGTCAACACCGGTGCCGTCGTCGTAAGCCTCCTTTTCAGCTCCTGAAAACTCGACTCACAACGGTCTGTCCACTAAAACTTTACACACTTCCTCATCAGCTGAGACAAAGGAAGTGCAATCTTTGAGAACCCTTCAATAAATCTGCGATAATAACCTGCAAGGCCGAGGAAACTACGAACCTCGGACGAATTCTTCGGTGCTGACCAATTTTGGACTGCAGCAATTTTGGAAGGATCAACTTCAATACCTGTTGAAGTAATAATGTGGCCAAGAAAAGCCACTCGCTGAAGCCAAAATTCGCACTTGGAGAACTTTGCATATAACTTCTCGCGTCTAAGGGACGAAAGAACGGCCCTCAGGTGCTCCTCGTGCTCCTTCTGGCTCTTGGAATAAATAAGAATATCATCGATGAAGACAGTAACGAACTGGTTGAGAAACGGATGAAATACACGGTTCATCAAGTCCATGAATACTGTCGGGGCATTACTGAGGCCAAACGGCATAACCACGAACTTGAAGTGACCGTATCTCGTACGAAAAGCTGTCTTGGGTATGTCTGACTCCTTGATTTTCAGCTGATGGTAGCCTGAACGCAAATCAATCTTGAAAAACACGCAGGCACCCCTCAACTGATCAAATAAATCATCAATCCTGGGAAGCGGATATTTATTCTTGATCGTCAACCAGTTAAGATCCCGGTAGTCGATACACATACGCATGGATCCGTCTTTCTTCTTAACAAAAAGGACTGGTGCTCCCCAAGGAGAAACGCTCGGTCGTATAAAACCGAGATTCAGCAACTCTTGAATTTGGGTCTTCAATTCCTACAATTCTTTAGGTGCCATTCTGTACGGTGCCTTTGAAACGGGTCCGGCTCCAGGGATAAGATCAATAGAAAATTCCACCTGTCGGCTAGGTGGACCTCCGCGAAGCTGGTCTGGAAACACGTCCATGAACTCACGAACTATAGGAATATCATGAGGTGAACGTGCCTTTGACTCATCTCCAACGAGGCTTACAAGATAACCCTGGAAATTTCCTCGTCGAAGAATCTTTCTGGCTTTCGCCATAGAAATAACATGTGGCAGAGTACGAGTCCTGGAGCCGTAATAAGTGATCTGATCATCTCCCGGAAGATAAAGAGTAATCTCCCAGTCGTAACATCGAATATCTGCGTGAAATCGAGTTAGCCAATCCATGCCGAGTACGAGGTCAAAATCCCTCATCTCGATAACATAAGTATCAGTAATCAGAATACGGCCGCCGATGGAAAGGCTGAGATCGGTGGCTCTAGCGTCAGTCACTATCTTTCTTCCCGAGGCTAAACTCACCTCGAGAGGATCGACAGCGGTAGTGGAACGAACCCCAATAGCTTCGAGACATTGACGTGATATAAAAGAATGGGTCACTCTAGTATCAAATAAGGCATAGACAGGCACATCATTAAGAATAATCATCCCGGACATGGTACCTGGGTGCTGGTCGGCCTCCCTCTGGTCAACTGCAAAGAGGCGGGCCTGTTGTCTGCCGCGTTGTTGTTGATGTGGTCATTGTGGTTGCTGCCTGGGCTGCTGTTGTTGAAGTTGCTGTGGTGGTTGACGTTGTTGCGGTTGTTGTTGCAGTCGTTCTGGACAGTTGGTGCTGAAGTGACCTGGCTGGCGGCAAAAGAAACAAACATTCTGACCCACGAGGCATTCTCCACGGTGGTGCTTCCCGCATGTTGGGCATTCTGGTATTGTCTTCTGTCTTTGACGGTTCCTGCGATCGTCTGGACCTGCTTTGAACTTCCTTTTATTCTTGTTGGTTGGTGGTTGGGCAACTTTGGGCTGGGCTGGTGGCTGAGCAACTGGTTGGACTGATGTCTGGGCGGCTTCTCGTCGGATACTGGCATCGACTTCTTGGGCAATGGCAACTGCACGGGCATAGGTCTGAACGCCGTGGCCTACGATGTTGCGGCGGACTGCTGGGCGAAGTCCGTCGGTGAAACGGTGGGCTCTCTTCGCCTCCGTACCTACAAGATCAGGTACAAAAGCTCCGAGACGGGTGAACTCTCTTTCGTACTCGTCGACAGTACGAGTACCCTGGGTGAGTGCCAAGAACTGGCGCTCCATGTCTGCTCGGTAATACGAGGGATAATACTTCTCTCGGATCAGCTCCTTGAACTGGTCCCACGTATAACCGTCTTTTTCACCGGGTCGCATACTCCAATAGGCTTGCCACCAGAGTCTGGCATCACCGGTCAGCTGGATCTGGGCACATAACATGCGATAACGATCAGGGCAGTTCATGACCTCGAAAATAATCTCGAGACCCTGAACCCATTCATCTACTACACGAGGATCTCCTTGGCCGGAAAACTTTTCTGGATGGTAGTCGCGGAACAAAGCGACCACTGTGGCCTGTGGGAGTTCCTGGTGATCTGGCTCTCTACGAGGAGGCATCTGAACATTGAAATATTTAACATAATTAAATAACATAAGAGATTAACTGACTGATTATTTTAAGTACACAGATCTCTTGACGAGTTGCTAATAACCCGAGAATACTAAAGTCGAACTATCAAATAACTGGGACAATCGACTAAGTTCTAAACATACTCGAGCATGTTACTGGTTTCTAGAGTCAATTATCTGATACCCTCATACTTGAGCATAGACTTAAGTATTTATTTAAATATATAAACTGGAACTCAGCACTTACCTGATAGTCGGCGAGGCGTGAGCGTAGCGTGGTCGGGTCGTTTCTGAAAATTTCTGACTTTAAAAGTATTCAGATACACGAAAATGTGCTCTGATACCAATTTGTAACACCCCGCTAGCTTACTAAAATCAGAGTGCGATTTTCGCAAATCCTTTTCTAAAGTTTACGTTTTATTTTGCGAAACATATATCGGGATGCTACATAAAATATTTCTTTTCTAAAATCCGTTAACTATAAACTCATTTATGAAAAACGGATTATCATTATAAAACAAGCGTGTGATACTGTATAAAACTAGACCCGAAAGCTCGGATCATCGTCTGAAAATTTACACGCTAGTTTGAAAGTTTGAAAACGTCAGCGGAAGTAAAACGTGGCAAATTTATACATATCAACAATCTGCAATAATATATACATATTTATATGTACTGGACCGGCGACCACCTGCTCCACTCACTCCTCCAGACCGACCCTGTCTCCTGAAAAAGAATCATAATAGTGGGAGCGTGAGTACTATAAACACTGTACTCCGCAGAAACTCATACTAAAGTAAACATTAATAATAATATCAATATCATGACTGCAGGTATATATAAGTAAATTGTAATCTCCAGACACAAGGTCTGTAACTGAACTGAACCTCCTCGGACACTATCTCCGTCCATGTGCACATTCCGATGGCCTATTAAGGCTACTGCGCCTCCACCGGAACTCGGGATGGCCTATTGAGGCTACTGCGCCTCCACCCAGAGTGGAATAACTCATATACATACCTTAAAACATGATAGAGCAATTATAACCAATGTAATACCCAGTCTGAGTCCCCACCTGTACTGATAATGTAAGTGCTGCTGCTGATCACTCTGTAAAAATTATATAAATAAACAAATACTAAGTACTACGCTCAGACTGACTGAAAATAATTATTAAGATGCTCGACTTGATCTAAATATTTAATTGGAATATTCCCGGGACTTAACTTGACTGACAAGAAAAACCGGACTGAACTGATACCGGTGTACTGAACTGACTGGACTGAAAAATAATTCCTAAGAGTAAATATGCATAAAGTGTTTGGGACTTGCCGGTTAAAAATTGAAGTTACTCGGGAGGGCTTATATAGCACCTCCG